TATTTATTTAACTATTTACAAGTACATGTACCCATTCCTTTTTCCTAGGCCCCTGCTCACCAATGAGGAGGTGTAAGTTGGTTTCGAGCAGGATAAGTCCGTTTTATTATGCACAAGAATTTAGTCATGGAAATATAAATTGATAAAAATATAAAACATTGCATTGTGTTTTACATGTCGGTACTAGCTGAATATTTAAAGTCTACTGCTTTAAGAGAATAAGTTTTTTAGCTTCTACATTCTGGTATTTTCGGAATTGTGCTATCATATACTTTGTTTTTTTATTTCTTACTTCTACGCACAAGTGCTGGTGTATCAAGCATTCTCAGATTTGAAACAAAATGCTTTACACTTGCAATATTTCCAATTGAGTAACAGCAATTACATGATCACTTAATATATTTTTTCTAGAATTCAATATGAAAAATATATAATTTAAAATGATAAACATGTTCAAATTAATAACTATTGACATATTTATTACGAATTTTCTTTATATTTACCTGAATTACCTGTAAAATGAAGTTGCGCAAATGTAATACAAAGCTGCGCAAACATAAAAAATGTAATACCCAAATGCGCGCAAATGAAAACACGATATACTTCCACTTTCCTAGCTTGATGTCCCCTCAAAAATGTAACATATTGTTTACACATTGTTTACATTCATATAGATGTTTCAATTCGGCAAGACTATCAACCAAACAGAAAACATTGAGTGCTGAAAAAAAATCTGATAAAAATAAACTATTTTAGTTCACTCTATATTTTGACACTGGAATTGAACATGTAATGTAAGCCTGACTGGTATCATAAATGTTTTTATTCCACTGTTTAAACATATTGATAGTTTAATCAAATTTTTGATTGGTTGAGACTATCCCGCGTGTCATTAAACAAATCTTCATATTCCATTCTGAGGATCATATTCCCCTCTGAAATGTCGGGATTACTTCGTGCGACGTTACGCGCGGTTAATGTACACAACGTTTTGAACTTCTTATTCTTCTTTTAAAAATAGCGATAGCAAAAATCATTATCATGTTCAAATTTATTTCAGACGATAAAACAAAAAGACTTATAATTAAATTTTGATCCTTAATCAATTTTCTGTTTATCAATGGGTAAGTCGTGTTTACGGTTTGACTTACAAAAACAAGCGGATAAGAAAAAAAATGTATGCAAAATAATATTTAATGTATTGATAGTAAACAAAGCATAGGCAGTGGAATAAAACATTCATTTCCCTTTGCCTCGGGAGATATGAAGATTTGCTCACCCTCGAAAAATCATATTTCCCTCGGGCAGAGCCCTCGTGAAATATGAATATTCTTGGGTGAACAAATCTTCATATCTCCCTCCGGCGCGGAAAATAAATGTATAATATTAAAGATTTATATTCGAGCACAAAGGGAAATTTACATTTACGACAATCTATATAAGGAGTCCTTACTTCTTACATATATTTCTTTTTATTTAGATTTACTGTTTTAAATATTGTTGTAAAATTCTTAATCCTATTACATACCCAATTTTGATTTACAAATAAAATCGTCTATTGTTTAGAATGACAAATAATTGTAAATGGCACATAATTTCCGTCACTTAGCACTTATGACGGCACCAACGAAATCGTTTTTGTTCATTATGTGGTGTTTTGTCTATTTCAGTATTAAGAACAGGCGTCCAGCTCATCTCTACCATTCCGTTTGAAAAACATTTGAAAGTCACTCTTTCATGTATAAAGGACGTGATTTTTATTTGTATTGACATTTCCATTTTGGTCCACCACAACCGACGGAATACATGGTTTGCGATCATCACTTGCGATTCTAGTTCCACAATGCACACCTACTGGATAGGCAGATATTATCTTCTAGTTTTTACGCTCTTTTGTTTAGTACTGTCTCTTTTATTTTCTGTTGCGATGGTCAAACATTTTCCTTTCCGCACAATAATCTACTTTTATTTTTTAAGTGCACAAACTTTTTTCCAATGCGAGGATAAATCATCATTCCAGTAAGTTTTAAATTTCGATATACATGTATACATATTCACTGTTTTTAAATCAACCATTTAACACCACAAAATTCGCATCACTTAAAAAGCTCAAGGGGTGTGGAACAAACTGCCTCCGGATACAGCCACAACAAAGTCAATTGAAGTGTGCACGTCTCAAAAGTCTCCAGTGACCAACACATCTAACTTACTAATAGAAAAACTCTCTTAAAAAGAGTTATCATTTGTTTTTGTTTACATTTACCAACCCCATACCCAACCCTAAGTACATCCTAATAATGTACGCTCCTGCAAACTTGTAATTCTTTTCTTTACCAATAAGAGGCCTCGGTTGCCGAATGGTATAAGTAGTTCATTTACTATTTCACAAGCATGTCAGCACTGAGGATATGAGTTAGAACCCCGCACGTGGCAAGGTCGGTGGTTTTCTCTCGGCCCTCCGGCTTCCTCCACTAACAAAAAATGACCACCACGATATAGCCAATAGTGCTGAAAGTGGCATTTAACCCCAACAATCAGTCAATCTTTACCAATTTTTTAGCACAGTTCTGACCGAATTGTGGAAACTTGTTTGGCCGGTATATAATTTCTATGTAAAGTCGCTCGAATCGTTCAATATATTTCAGCTTAAACTTGATTCTTTGTTCATCATATTGAAGATTCTTGATAAATTTTCTATTTCGGTTTTATCCACGTAAAGCTACTTGAGTTGTTTGCTTCTTTTTCATGCAACGGTTTTTCGAGATGGTCTATCTTTTATGTCACCATGACACATGAGTAGTATGCAAACATTTTCACACTAACCAATTTTAATATAATAACCCTTTAAAAGGCTTTAATCCGAGTAATGTGTCAGTATTGGGTGAGCTACGTGTGTAAAAATTACCCCAGGAAATGACTTTAATTAAATATGATATGGACAGCAATAATTGTCCTCTTCATAATTTGAATATTATACTTGCACACGGAAAACTCAATGATAAAATTTACGACAGAAGAGACGATTTTTCGTTCCCTTTTGTGAAGTTTCCTTTTTTTGCCTACTCGTTGGCTAAGCCGATTTTTGATCGAACGTATTATATTTCAACGAACCCAATATTTGTATAATTGGTTAACTATTAGGTCATGAGTTTTGTTATCACAAATTACTTAAAACCTTTACCAAATTCAATCTTAGAAGTTTTGCTGTGCCTGTGGATACCTTTATTACAACGGATTATCACCTCCTAATTTTTACAGTGATGTTGTTTGTAGAGCCCGTAAACTTTGATACGATCGATGAAAATTATTGATCCTTTGAATAAAGTAGTTCCAAAAGGTAATAAAAACGCACATGTAAGATCTAAGAATATTGTCCTTACCGGTTCTACTAAATAAAAAAAATATAACTATATATGTATTGTAATACAGCTGTGAACTTTCATGGTCCAACATCCTGTCAATACATATATTTTGGCATTGCAAAACTTAAGTTTTCTCAGATTGTTTATGACGGCTTCACACTAAATCCGTTGGATGTGGACTGATTGAAATTTTAGTCTGGGAAAACGTTATTTATTTTTATAAGCTGAAATTGGACTTGAGCTAGCTTCCAGTAATTGCGAGTTCTCTTACATGTACATGTATATGTAGTTTGTTCTAGTCTTGATACTTAGTGTATCACTCAAGCTTTAATGTTTCAGATGAAAGTTTCCGTTTTACTGCAGACGTCATTTCAAACCATTCACGAAAAACAACAAGCGATAAAGCATCCAAGTATTTCCAGAAAGATGGAATGACAGAAAAAAGAATATACGAAACACCATTCATAGCAAAGAATTTAGATGAGAAAATTGACGTGATGTTGTTAGCATATGCACGAGGAGGATAAACGTACGTAGGCCACATGCTTGGACAGCATAAAAATTCATTTTATTTCTACGAACCTCTGTACAAGGAAGAAACACGTCACCAATACTGCAGAAATGGATCTGTATGTGAAATTAATAACCCCGCTTGCAGGTAGGAAAGAAATAGGTACGGTTAGACCTAATTTGGTACATTTAATTGGCACATTTTAAGTTAATAACATTGTTAGTTGTTGGTTAAAGAGAAAAGTAGAGATATGGACAGGACAATATCCAACCACTTGTTTGTGTGTGTGTATGTCAGTTAGCGTCTACTAAACGACTTTCTGTTGAATATGTTATGGTTTGAAATTGCGCTTTTTATTTAAATGTAAAGATTTTGTTAAATTTTCTAGCTATATCACAAAAGTAAATACTTTCTGCTGATTTGACCTTCATATGTATACAGTTCAAAATCAGAATGTGTCCGTGTCTTATTAATATTTGTACAAAATACATTTTAAAAATTATTGGTAAAATTCAATTTGGGTTTTAATTATCTCACACTTTATTGCATCGTCTGAGACGTCCACTTATCTGGCAGTGAGGCATCGATGAGATCGACGGGGTTAACAAAGAATACAAATCTTATATAAAAAGCTGATAGCCTGAAGTTTCCGTCTGGTAAATGGCAATTGACCTTGATCTTAATCTTGTCAAGAGTTAAATGACTTACTGATAAAAGTAAGATGTTATGATTAGGGCCTAATTGACACCAAATTCAAGTATTCATTTTTTTAATATTTTTTATCCAGTTGCAAGACTAAATTTTGAATCTATGCAGTACAAAAAATGTAAGTAAACGATTTTATTTTTGGTTTAAAAAAATTGTTTTGACAAGATGTACAGCTACACAACGGCAATGAATTCACTGGAGTTGTGACAATGTAGAAAACAAGTTTGACTTGCACGTGCTGACAAAAAAATATAGAGTACAAACTTTATCCAAAACTATCATTACCTATTATACTTATGTATAATTTGAGATTAACCATTTTATTTTGGGCAAAGATATTGTGATCTTATAATTTCACAATTTTTTTTCGAATGAAGTTCACATGGACATGAACACGTTTTCTATATTTTTTCAGGCCTGTTGATACGAATATTATCAATAAATATCTAGATCAAATAACTTTAGTGTATCAGTGTGCAGAAAGTGTATTGAATGGAACCAGACAGTGGCAGCGAACTTTTGGAGGTAAGAAATGGAATCGGAAAGAAAATCGTCAAATGCTTTGTCTACGGTCACAATTTCGAGTAGCCAAAGTGTTGCGTATCGCAGGAGACTTAGTGGAAAATTTATTAATTAAGAACCCAAAGCTTAAAGTTATATACTTATACAGGGATCCAAGGGGCATTATAAATTCAAGATTAAAAATCCCTGTTAATGAAACGGCGGGAGCGTGGAACGATTTTAATACAACTGAAGATATAGCTTTTGCCGTTTGTCAGAAAATGGATATTGATTCGAAAAACATATTTGAATTAAAGGGAAAATACCCTGAAAGAATATTCACTGTAGCATACGAAACTACAGCCAAATCTCCAGGAAAAAACGCAAGAAATTTATTCAAATTTTTAGATGTCAACATATCAAAAGAATATCAAAATTCTATTTCCAAAATGGGAAATAGAAGTAAAAAGGATGATAAAACATGGAATTCAGCTTTCCGATCAGATGGATACGCCACAGCAATAAAATGGAGAAAAGAACTGTCAGAGAAAGACAAGAAAACGATTGACATATCATGCAGAAATGTTTACAAACAACTTGGCTACCACGTATAACGTCTTGAGAAAGCGGATATAAAGCTGCATTTCACACGACTAATAGAGAAAAAAAAATAGCAGTTTACTGTAGTTACTAAGGACATCATTCACGCATACTGTAGTTACTAAGGACATCATTCACGCATGAATAAGATCTTTTGTACTATTAGGTGGTTATTTTTTTACGTTTGCAAAGACTGAATTTCATACCCGCTGCAACTAAAAGTTAACAATGAGTTTTTATATTTATAAACCCTTGTCCGCTTCATTTCATCCATTTGTTCCGGAGAGCGAAAATGGGCAATCTGAAATTTAAAGATCTAACAGAATTTACTAGTATCGCATCTTATATACATTGACTCTACGAATTTTTCATACAAATAAGAACTGTTTATTTTTGCTTATTTTAACTCTTAAAATAGAGAGAGAATGTTCGCAGGACTTCAGGCAATATAATGGTATGAAATTGGTTTGAAATTTGTATGTTTTATTGACAACGTCAAAGTATTGTCGTCATTTAAACGGAAAAATTGAAAAAAAAAGAAATAATTGGATAGATTTTTTCTATAATTTCATAGATTTTTTTTAAAGCATGTATGAAGACTTAGATATTCATGCATTAATTATGGAATTAAGAACACAAGCAAAGTGAGAATCCGGATTTTTCATACACAATAATATCAGTGATATCTAAAATAAAATAATCCTTCATCATATTTGAATATGTAAATATGTTAACAAAATAATAAAATCCAGAAATGATACTCATTTCAAACTAAATGTGTTTTGTACCACAAGCGATTGTTGATCACCAGCACATACAACTATAATTATAATAGATAAACATTTATACAAGTTGTCGGGACCTTTTATAACCGACTATACGCTATGGGTTTTGTTCTCATTGTTGAAGGCCGTACGGTTGCCTATAATTGCTCACATCCGTTTCATTTGAACTTTGGTGGATAGTTGTTTCATTGGCAATCGTACCACATCTCCTTATGTTTATATAAGTAAGAAGAAAACCATCTTGTTTAACCATTTATTGAGGTACATCTTCAACATAAAAAGTGCATCTTAGTTAATCGTGTTCTTTATCAAAGTATAAAATGTAACATTAACAAACTATTTAAAAGTACTAACATGCAAGATATTATTAACTTCAAAAATTCAACAGTAAACAAAATAGTTATGAAACAAAACACTTGACATTCAAGCATTTTATTCATCTATAATGGAGCCATAGCGTCACTCATGGAGATAACATTTACCCATGGCATAGGGTTAACTGCATAAAATCCATGTAGATCATTATATGGGCTTGTCATTAATAATTTTGAGGTTTTTTTAAATGCATTATTGTGGTTTATGTTGTAGAACCTCAAATATACCTTATTTACATTTAAACGTAGGTCTGATCATAATAATGTGTATTTTATTTGGATTATTCTTCAAAACATATCTTTGATCCTTACAACCCTAGCACCACTTTTCTAACATGAGAAAATAATATATCATATGGAAAACTGATGTAAAAAAAATATATAGATAGGAGATAAATTTGGAAATTGTGAAGCACCAAGAAAGACAACTCAATGTGATTTTGAATCAATAAACAATCATTCAGGCAAAAAATAAAAACATTTTCAATATTAGATTTCTTTTGTTGGAGACGAAAGCATTTTTTTCTTTGGTTAACGGGAGTTAATCTTGATGTTTATATATTTTTTCTCAAAATATTATCCCTGTAAAAAGTAATTCTAATAAGAAGTTGTTTAATTACCAATTCTTTCGATACATATAAACATGTTATATAGAATAACCATATACTTTAATTATTGAGAACAATATATTCCGTTGATCATTTTCAAATTGCAAAATTTATGCGGTCTGTGTGATATATTTAAAAAGTTTTTTAACAGAATTATTGATATTGACATCATTTACATTTAGTTTGTCTTTACAACTGTATCCCGAGTTTTCTGATATTCATTTGTTTTATGGATCAACAATTTTATGGTGCACCAATAGTAAGAATATACCATACTGTAAAAAAAGTATCGCCCCATTTTTATGCTATTTATTTAATGTCACATTTTTGACAAAAAAGACTAAACAGGTTTTAACAAATAGTTGAAATACATCTCGGTTAGTACCAAAGTGAGAGCGAATGTTAAAAAGTCAATACGTTAAATGAATCATTACGTCGAAGCATTGTACTTTGAGGCTCTCTTTGAAAAGCACTAAGTGAAATTAGACAAAGTAAGATCACAAATATATTCAACCTCTCCACATTCTGTATGTGTTTAACCTTAGCCTGGAACCTCTATTTCCAGTGTCGGTAGTTGTTGGTTGGTGTGTGTAATAATTCTGTTTCGTTTTAATGTTATACGGTCGTTGATTTTCTATTTTGAATTGTTTTACATTTTGCCATGCCGGGGCCTTTTATATCTTACTATGTGGTACGGGTGTTAGTAATTGTTGAATGCCGTACTGTCCCCTGTAGTTGTTCACATTCCTGTACTTTTTGTGGATAATTTCTTTGGCAATTATATCATGCGAAATGACACTATGAGCATACTACTTTTCATTCACTTTGTCGGAAAATTCAAAACTGTCGTGAACATAAAAATGGTTACACCCATGAAAATTCAGAATACCTCTTTGAGTTATCATGCATTGTTAATACAAACATATCCCATTGAAATAAGCTACAAGTATGAACTGATATTAGAATAAAAATACACATGTTTATGCACAAAGTTTATATATATATATATTGAAAAGTTTTAAATTTTGTCCACGCTGTGCATATTTATAGATATACATATATCAGACTTTTTCCTAATCTCTGAACTGATTCTTACAATTTGAATAAAAGGGGATGCGAGATAAACGTCAGACATAAAATAAACAACAAAGGAAACCTAAAAAATATTAACATACGTTTTTTGTATAACAGACATGTCGGACAGGTAATTAACATGCTTGGATGAAACAAGTTTTTACAACCCCTCCCCCCCTTATTGATCTCAATCAGTGGAAAAACAAAAAAGTACACAAACTATTTATTTCAAACCCATTCTTTGTCTTCCTAAACCTTCTTAAACCATAACAAGATGCAGCGAATTTGCTGTGTTTGTATTGATTTTCAGGATTAACAAATTTGTATCAGAACTGACCAGAGCCGATAATGTGGACAGACAAGGATATATTTATGAATCGTATATGTATTTTGGTTTCTAATGTAAACATTTGCGAAAAGTACATGTAAAAGGTATATACGAAAAGATAATCGGACAAGCACATTTTTTTCATCATGACTCGTTCTTTACAGGTATAGAATATAATAATTGTACAATTGTAAGTTTATATAAATGTTATAACAATAGTAGAACATATTACTTTCATTCCGACATATAATAATAAAATAATAATGATAATAATTCTATAAATGTCATGATATTGGAAGTTACGGTACTGTAGCACTGTAGATAGGTCTACATCTCATATATTGTAATTTCGTTTCAACATTAAATGGAGATGTAAACAAAAACATTAAGAACTGTATTAAGCACATCATTAATCATAAGCGGTGATCGTTAAAATTATTTATAATAATATATAATAATGCATAATCTCGTAAAAATTGGGTGTAAAAGAGAGACAAAGGATACCAAAGGGACATTCAAACTCATAAGTCGAAAATGAACTGTAAACCTAGTGTATTAAAGTGATTTCATATTTTTTTAAAAGAACACACTTACTTGAAACATTATTATTTACCAAGGCAGCAACCAATATAATTGTGGAAAGGAGAAGTGTGATTTTTCTTGTAGCTAATTTTTGTCAGCTAGGTATGATTGGTGCCTAACCATTTATATCAACGAGGTAATAATCAAGTAAATAATGAAAGTGTCCAGACGAATTTGACATACCTGAATTTCCCTTTATTCCAATCTTAAAATGTACTTTAAGGAAAATTCCGTTTTCGAAATTCATAAATAAAAAGCGACAACGGAATAGTACAAACGAGAAGGACAATCACTTATCATTGAATTATTATTCTACCTATACATAACAAACACATGAAATAATAGTATAAGGAGTATATATCTTCAGTTGGCACTATATTCCATGACTGGTGTTTCATAGCATGATTTCATTGATAGAAAGTTATAGCTAACAAGGAAGCTATTGATACAAGGGTTCCAAATGGTAAAATTCTCCATTCGAATGTTTTACGGACACAATCATGATTTGGTTGACCATTATGGAATAATCTAGTAATCAATCAACCACTACACTTATAACAAAGTCTTCTATCTTTAAAATGGGGCCTCGGTGGCCGAGTGGTCTAAGTAGTGACTACTGTAATCACTAGCCAGTCAACACTGAGGTAGTGAGTTCGAACCCCGCTCGTGCGGGTGCACTGGACTGCAATCTTAATTGACTAGGATTGTCAGTTTACCTATCGAAGGTCGGTGGTTTTCTCCTGGCACTCCGGCTTCCTCCACCAATAAAAACTGGCCGCCACGAAATAGCCCAAAAGCGGTGCTTTAAAGTGGCGTTAAAACACCAAAAATCAAATCAAATCTATCTTTAAAAAATCAACTCCTTTAATAAAAATCAATATTGAAAATGCATGTGAATGCACATATGTACCGTGTAATTATTCTTATAACTTTGCAAAAATCGTGTATACTTAATGAAATTCACTAATTGTATAACTACATGAGTCGTAAGCTTCGAATTCACTTCTTTATCAATGAGTTTTTTTAGAGTCTAAACTTAAAATCTATTTTTGATCTACATTAGATAAAACATGTGTATTCGAAGCTTTACTACATGTCCATTGTTACAAGTTTTCGCTTTTGTTCAAAATCGTAAAGCTCCTTAAATTTTTCACGATCTTTGTTCTTTTGGTAATAGTCGTTGAAATTAGCAACAATCATGGCAACCGGCATTGCTAGAACAATAATTCCACAAGTTGCGCACATGGATCCAATGAGCTGACCCCCAGCTGACTT